GAAATTGTCTCATGGATGTTCAGGAAATTGTCTCAAAATGTTCAGGAAATTGTCTCAAAATGTTCATGAAATTGTCTCAAAATGTTCAGGAAATTGTCTCAAAATGTTCAGGAAATTGTCTCATGGATGTTCAGGAAATTGTCTCAAAATGTTCAGGAAATTGTCTCAAAATGTTCATGAAATTGTCTCAAAATGTTCAGGAAATTGTCTCAAAATGTTCAGGAAATTGTCTCATGGATGTTCAGGAAATTGTCTCAAAATGTTCAGGAAATTGTCTCAAAATGTTCAGGAAATTGTCTCAAAATGTTCAGGAAATTGTCTCAAAATGTTCAGGCCTGAAACATCTTAAGTCTCTTCCCCTCCTCAATTTTAAGTCCTCCAATGAATTTGCCTGGGGCGCTTCAGGCAGTCTGCCAGTGTTGGATGTTGTCTCTTGCTTGTCATGTGCAGTTGCATGCTAATGACGTGAATTTAATGTTTGTGCATTTTATAATAATTCGCACGTGTTGCTATTCTGCAAGTGTGTGTAATTAATGTGTGTATTTCAACGTATGTATGTATGGGTGTTGGACTTCTTTCGCACCGTACGTTAGCCGACCGTGCTAATCGGAGGTTTCGGAGGGGAAGGGCAACAAACTGTGGGCCTCTATGTTAGTCTATGGGTCTCTATGTTTGTCTATGGGTCTCTATGTTAGTCTATGGGTCTTTGTGTTGTTAATCTATGGGTCTCTGTGTTAGTCTATGGGTCTCTGTGTTAGTCTATGGGTCTCTATGTTAGTCTATGGGTCTCTATGTGAGTAGTCTATGGGTTTATGTTAGTCTATGGGTCTCTATGTGAGTCTATGGGTCTCTATGTGAGTCTATGGGTCTCTATGTGAGTCTATGGGTCTCTATGTTAGTCTATGGGTCTCTATGTTAGTCTATGGGTCTCTATGTTTGTCTATGGGTCTCTATGTTAGTCTATGGGTCTTTATGTAAGTCTATGGGCCTCTATGTTAGTCTATGGGTCTCTGATTGACTATGGGTCTCTGTGAGTATGTACAGAATGTATATTAAACTTCTTTCGCACCGTACGTAGACGACCGTGCTAATCGGAGGTGCAGGGGAGCGGGGACAACAATCTTAAACACAAAAAGCAGTTCTAAAGATTAGTTTGTTTTTAAGTGCCATTTATTAAAACGGTATATACATCAACAAAATTGTATTTATAAAACACCTTCGAAGGAGCACAAATTATTGATTTAAAAAAACTGAACAAGTCTTTTTTACAATGCGCATTGAAAGAGATCAAGATTTTAGTTTAGACATGAAACAATAGCAACACGAAAGCATCACAGCCGTCAGACGTTACAATAATGATACAATTTTCATCGCAACATTCCGTGACAGCAACATTCGCCGCAGCAAAGATGATTGTGTTACGTGTAACATAAGGGCAAAAGAGAATGTGAAAGATATCGTGAATCGTTGAACTATGTATGCCATAAATCTCATAACACGAGTGTAGTGCAAGTACATCATAGCAGTATCAACTATTTTAATACAAGCTTATGGTCGAAGAAGCAATACAAGATGTGTGGTGCCTTCTTGACTGCATTGGATTAATTAATTGGAGCAATTAAACATGTTTCGGAGTAGACCATATAATAATAAGTTGACAGGGTAGCAGTGAATTTAATTGTACTGCTGGGTGAGGTCTTCATCCAGCAGTCGATAGATCATGGCTTGCAATGCATATTAAGACAGTTTGTCGGGAGATGGAGAGTCGGTAAGAGGCAGAAAAATCATAAATAAAAAAAGTCTTGAGCCTGGACTTGATCAGGGGTTGGGTGATCAGGAAAGGCCAGAGGGAGGAAATTCCAGACAGCAACAGAAGCAGCAGCAGATGCGTAGGGGACCTTTCTTTGAGATGGAGATTGATTGAGGAGCTTTGACAGAAAGTATTGGGTTTGCTGAAGCAGAGAGCGCAAAAAAAGTGGCAGTGCGATGAGATGAGAGTCCATGGAGGATCTATAATCATGTGTAAAATGTGAAGAAATTGAGTTTTGCTTAACTCGATTGGTGTTGCCATACCTGTTAACCCCTTATCAGTGCCCCTACCTTATTACACACCAATTCAGACCTTATTGGTCATCGCGTGCCCCTTATAAATCTCAACGTTCATCCTACAAAGTCCCATCACAAGGGAAAAACACAAACAAATGGACAGACCATTTTTCGTTTGCCCGTATTGAAACGGCTGTACGTCGTATGGATCTGAAAAGTCAATTGCCCTGTACGAGCATACGGGGTAAACCGTATGGGTTGACAGGTATGGTGTAATGTGAGTGTAGCCGGTTATAAGTTTAATGTAATGAATCACGTGTGTAGTTGTGAATGGAGATAATGGTGACCATGGATTGGACCCATAAACTCACGTGACTGCCATATCAATTCAGGGCGGATACTGCACAGGTAACATGCATAGATTTAGAACCTCCCTTGCCAGTATCATTAATATAAGAATATGTTTTACCCTTTCTGGCAATGAAACAGTTGTGTTCAGATGTTGTTAAACCACTGAACAAGAAACCTTTTGCAAGGAATGACGTCTGCATCAACCACTCACACTTGTGGTGAACATGCAATCAAAAAAACATGCTCTGGTAGTGTGTGATGCATTGTCCTTGGAACTGATTGGTCCACCACCAGAGACAGCTTTCTTTAGAGCCTAGTCTCTAACAGTGTTAAGTAATTCTAGATTTAAAGCTTTCGTGACTGCTAGGATCCATACTCTTTGGTTCTATTGGGTAAAGTCACGTAGGTGAAAATACTAAAAAAAACCTACGTGACTTTACCCAATAGAACCAAAGAGTATAGTGTTAAGTAATGTTAATGAGCTGTGCATTGTTTACTGGTAGTAAATATATTCACAGTTAAAATTTTAATAATTGGAGACGATTTTAAGAATTTAATGAAGAAAGTCGTTTGGGCGTGTGGGAGCAGAATATTAACATTTACACTCAATCCTTTCAGTGCAGGGATTGAGCGGTGAGGTGCTGCACAACGTGGGGTTGATTGGTGTGCATTTGTTCATAATTACAGGTATGATAATTTAGTTTCTTTCGAGTTTTATACTGGTAGGAACCTCCTGGTTACACCAGCCCACAGGGGATTATTGTGTCCGTCCGTAGTGCATCCAAAAATGGGAGGGGTGGGGCAGGGTGGGGAGGGGAGGGTGGGGCTGGGTGGGGAGGGTGGGGCTGGGTGGGGAGGGAGGGGCTGGGTGGGGAGGGAGGGGCTGGGTGGGGGGTGGGAGGGGTGGGGCTGGGTGGGGAGGGGCTGGTCACCCCGTGGTGCCCTTATAAAACTCAACGTTTAACCTACTTACGCTGGCTTGTGCCCGCCCTCACAGTCGGGCATATTTGCGGAATACACCACGTGGTGGTGCCGCCGTTGACCCTGGCCATTGACCGAGCAACCCAACATTCCTACCAGCTCCCTCCGCAGGAATGTGTTTTTGTTTATATTGCCGTTTTTGCGCGGGGAAAAGTTGGAAAACAAGATGGCCTCGTTAACATCGTGCCACAATAAACCCTTGCCGAATAATCCAACATTCCGAATTATGTACAACGGTACTCCCCACTACCACCTGCCCAAATTAAAAAAAAAAAATTGTTTTCCAAACTCTTAACACACCAATACGCATTTGACACGCCCCCGCATCAATTCCACCCAAAGCTTTGGATTTGTCTCGCGCACTTAAGGGATTTCTACTTCAGTCCCTTTCTTTAACTTCTTGACTCTTGCACAGAGTGCACAAAACGGGGGTAAAGTCCAAAGCGGCGGGTCTGCACCGACGCTCACCACGCCCCGACCGCCACCAGACCGAGTCGATGTTTTGGCCGTGGCGCACGGCTCCGCTCCACGTGCGTGCAGAAATTGGACCATTCGGCACGGCAATTCGGCTCGTGGCGAATTACTAACACGCCGTATGCACGCTGAAAGCGCAGCCGTGCCGAATTATCCCTAATTACGAATGGACAATTACCGAAATAAGGAGGTTTTACTGTACAGTAAAACCTTGGACTGCGAGCTACTTTGGTCTGCGAGTGTTTTGCAAGACGGGCAAATTATTAAATAAATATTAATTTGATAAACGAGCGAGGGTCTTGCAATGCGAGTAGTAGTACGTATAGATGCTTTGTCTGCCGAGCGTCATGTGATCACAACTGATATACGAGTGCTTTGATATACGAGTGCTTTGGATTACAAACACGTTTCCGGAACGAATTATGCTCGCAATCCAAGGTTTTACTGTACTTAGTTGTATGTATACGAGTGCTACTAAGCTGTTTAGCTTGATAAATTCAAGTTAATACAATAGATATATAGTAATGGGAAGGTGATTCGAACGTTACGGTGGTAAAAATAGGAAGTCATGTTCTGATGGTTGATTAAATTTAGCGATAGTTACGTTGTTGGGAAAAGAGACCCTCGCAAAATGGGCGCCCTGCAGCTTTTAAAAATTAACATTGAGCTGATGGAGTAAGCAGAGTTATACTTCATAATAAAGGTTTTTGGGTTAGATCGCGTTATTTATAAATGTGTCGTAACCCTCCACCACCCGACACGGCCAATCAGCAAAAAAGTGTCACGTTGACAAAAGACAAATAGTTCACTGCAAAAAAGTGTCACGTTGACAAAAGACAAATAGTTCACTACTTTAGCCCACCGGTGTGTTGAAGAGTGAATCCACAACATTTACAGTTTGAGTACGACGTTTCGCTGGTAATTACATAATTACATCCAGCATCATCGGGCAATTAGCCAGAATGGCGAATTCCCCGATGATTCTGGATGTAATTACCAGCGATACTCAAACTGTAAATGTTGTGGATTCACTCTTCAACACACCGGTGGGCTAAAGTAGTGAACTATTTGTCTTTTGTCAACGTGACACTTTTTTTGCTGATTGGCCGTGTCGGGTGGTGGCGGGTTACGACACATTTATAAATAACGCGATCTAACCCAAAAACCTTTATTACGAATAATATTGGTCGCGAAAGCCTACGTGTTAAACAGAGTTATACTTGTGTATTTTGTTAGAGATGGTTCTGATTCAGATAAAATAAATAATAGTTGCTTTATACCTTTATGGTGTTTAAAATTATACTGCAAATTTACATTTCATAATAGAATTGGACTATAAAATGTTGTTTTATTACTATACAAGCAAATATTTAATTTGTGCAGTATCATCACAGTGGCTGTGACCAGGATAGAGTATTTAGAAGGCCCTCTAGATGTTAATATAATGTTTTAGTTAAATGTTAAATACATTTAAGATGTTTTTGTTAAATGTGAAATATCTCAGATGTTTTATGTTAAATGTGTATTAGATATGATAAGCAGGTGTTATCATTATTGAGATTCGGGTGGACACTTTAGAGTACAGGGATTGAGCAGTGAGGTGCTGTGTAACGTGGGGCTGATTTAGTGTGCATCTGGTTATATTACAGGTCCATGAATGCTCCTCAGAAGAACACTTTGAATTAAAGCGTTTGCTGTTCCACAACCTTCTGGTGTCCCTCGGTGGTTGAGTCACCCGATCCTCAAGAGGATGGCAGAACACAACGCGGAGTATTCACTCATCGCCACCGAACCCGTCTATTGTTGTTGTCTTTATTAGCCGGCCTGTCCCCTCGTTACGATCGCGGGAGGAGAGGGATAGGGCGTGCTGGTTACACGAGCCTAACAATTTGTTTGACTCGATAAGTTGTGATGCATCTACTCTCTTTCCATGACCCATCAGCATCAGCATGGCGTGCGCGGTGGCCGCGCCGGTGCCGGAGCCGGAGCCGATCGGGGACTTCCCGGCGTGGCTGGAGACGCAGGGCGTGAACCAGGAGGTGGCCCGGGCCATGGACTCGGAGCTGGGCATCCGGGACTACGGGGTCCTGCGCGCCTGCGTCGGGGACGGCCTCGTGCGGGCCGAGCTGCTGGCCACGGCGCGCGACCGCCTGCCCTTCGGCTTCTACGCCGTGCTGCGGCAGGTGGTGAAGGCCCTGCGGGGCGCCGAGCGCCACGACGCCGCCGGGACGCCGCTCTGGGACGACGACGACGACGCCGCGGCCGCGGCCGCGGCCGCCGCCTCCTCCCCCTGTGGCGACGTGACGCTGGCAGGCCTGGTGGACGTGCTGCTCGCGCTGTTCAGCGGCTTGAGCCGGGAGCTGCTGCTGTCCGCGCGGAGGCTGGGAGCCATGGACGGCCAAGGGGCCAGTGCTGGGGGCTCCACTCCGCCTGGAACGGAGATTGAGATCCAGGACTTACTAAAAGCCAATGGAAATCAGCCCTTAGGGAATGGTAATAAAGATGTTAATGTCATGATACCTGTTGCAATAGACACCAAATAAATTTGCCCACTGTGGAAACGTAGACAGAAATAGCCCATTGTTAGTCCGCTGATGAATGAAGGCATCTCCATAACGCGTCGGGCTGTGGGATGCGTCGACCAAACATTACCACGCTGGTCAGTGTGGGTTGGTATAGGGGGTTGGAAATCGATCTGAGGTCACCAGGTTCATAGTGCAAGTGCTCCAACCACCGCTACCATTATATCCGTATATAACAATCGCACACCTTTATTTGTGCAGGTGTATTGTCGACGGGCCGGGAGACAGGATTCTTGAGGAGGCACCTTCTTTACTCTTAGGTTCACAGGTTCACCCTCGTTCTTTCCAAGTCGTACAGCCTAGCCTAGACACAACCCTGATCGCGTTACACCGACGGCGTCGACGGAGACAGCCAACAACTATCCGGCCGCACAATTATCGAGTGAAGGCGGCAGCGACGAAGGCAGCGAAGGTGACGGTGACGACGGAGAGACGAGTTCACTCTCCAGAACCGGCAGCCCGGAGCTCTCGCTCTCCGCTGCTTTTATCCTACTCGGCGCGGCCTGGCTTCGCCCTGGCCGCGCCTCCCTTCTCGAACCCACTAGCGGGTTCCAGGGGCTTCCAGATGAGGTTTTCCGTGACCCTTGCCCCACAATTCCTCAGCCCTGCAGGCACGACCGTGTGTATGATCCTCATGGCGGTACCGCGGGGTACCAAACAATACAAAATGCCCGAGGCAATTAAACGTTTTATTTCTGGGACGCTATTTTTTGCAAGGGTGTATTTAACTCCGCGACTGGGGTGCCAATCAATCTGAAATCAGTGCCACACTCCGCGATGTCGAAACGCGGCGAGGACAATTGCGCTGAAACTCTGAAACGCTCGGCACGCACCGCGGCGGTGCGTCGTGAGTACAGCTCGCCGAGACGAGTCGATTGCCGCATCGCCGACAATCAACAAGACTAAAAATGACTGCGTCACTGACATGCGAGAGCCGGGGTACTTTGGTTCTCCCCGGGGTACTGCCATAAGGTTCACAGTGGCACAGCGCCGGCTGCTGGACAGCGGTCGGCGCTGTGCCGCCACACAGGTTGAGGTGGCGATTGTTTTCGTACGTTGAGCATTCGGTGACGTCAGAAGCTTGCAACAAAATGCGCATTTCACCGCCCGCTTTTTTCCGGCGTTGGCTTATGTTTTAAAAAAAGAAGAGAAAGAGCGAGCTGCCCATTCAGTCCGATGCCACTTTTGCGCCCTCTCTTTGCAGATGCGGTGGAGGTGTCTCCTCCAGTCGGGGGCTTCAGTCCCTCACAGGCCACTCGCGCGATTAAAATGGAGCTCCACGATGGTAAGAACGGAACCTGCACCTCCGTTTCATCAGCACAGTAAAACCTTGCATTGCGAAGAGCGTAATTCGTTCCGGAAACGTGTTTGTAATCCAAAGCACTAGTATGTCAAAGCACTCGTATATCAGTTGCGATCACGTGACGCTCGGCAGTGCAAAGCGTAGACACGTACAGCTACTCGTATTGCAAGACCCTCGCTCGTTTATCAAATTAATATTTACTTAAAAATTTTGCTCGTCTTGCAAAACACTCGCAGACCAAGTTACTCGCAGTCCAAGGTTTTTACTGAGGTTTATTTCCCAGCTATGTTCCGATTTGTGCTATCGATATGGGGCTCTGAGACGAAACAGATTTAGCTGCAGGGCTGATGTTTAGCCGCTTATTAAAAATGTACAGTCGGCGAGTTTCTGACAGTTGCTTCCCCGTAGCTCCTTTATTGCTCGTACACCGTCACACTTGCTAACTATTAAAACTACTTAAATTTTTGTTACTAGGTAAGGCCCCACCGAGCCACCTGGCCACACATGATAGCTCGACAAAGTGGCTTGTCACGTGGAAATTTATAGCAGCCAAATACTCTTAAATGCATGTTTCTAAATGTGGAGGGAAAAACCTGAGGACCCAGGGAGGGACACTGCAAACTCCTAATATGCAAATATACAGCAGCAGGCATTGTCAGGGTCGGAATTGAACCCACGACCTCCTGTACACCAGCCGAGGTAGTTAACATCTCCTAGCCACCGTGATGATGATGAGACACGCAAACTCCAAATATACAGCAGCAGGCATGGTCAGGGTCGGGATGAAACCCACGACCTTCTGTACACCAGCCGAGGTAGTTAACATCTCCTAGCCATCGTGATGATGAGAGAGAGAGACACGCAAACTCCAAATATACAGCAGCAGGCGTCAGGGTCGGGATCGAACCCACGACCTCCTGTACACCAGCCGAGGTAGTTAACATCTCATAGCCACCGCGGCACCCCTTGTGATGCTGCGCCTCGCTAGAGTGGTACGTTTTGCGTGCGTCAACTCTTTAGGAGAACTGCATTGCGTGGCGTGATCGTCATCGATTGAGTGCCCGCCCTCCGTTAACCCGGTTGCAGATGACATCCCGTGGCCAGCGCCTGGGGGCGATGGCAGCCTCCACCAGGTCGCTTGGGAGGAGCTGGACCCGCGAAGAATGGGGTTTATAAGCCCAACAGACCTAGCAGGTAACGAACGGGCAAGAAGGGGGGAGCGGTGCTGAAGGGTTTTCGAGATTTCACTGTGAAGTGGTTTCCCGTGACGTACGTTGCACTGTGTAACGCGCGTTCGCGTTTTGTGTCCCACGTGGTGATGTGTACGTATCACGTACGGTGACATTTTTCAAGCATGAAAAATATATATTTTTTTTATATCTGATTTTTTTTACCGAAAAATGCGCAGGTAATTGTCTCAACATTTTCAGGCCTGAAAATACTTATTTTTTAGACTTTTTTTACGTAAAAATTATCTGATAATTGTCTCAATTTTTCAAGTATGAACATGTGTTTTTAAAAAATATATATTTAATGTATATTTTTTTTTACTTGCAAATACTCAGGTAGTTGTCTCAAAATTTTCAGGCCTGACAACATCTTGAGGTCTATTCCCCTCCATTTTAAGTTGTCCTCGAATGGATTTGCCTGGGGGGGGGGCGTTTCAGGCAGTTTGCCTGTGATGTTGTCTCTTGCTTGTCATGTGCAGGGCATGCTAATGATGTGAATGTTATGTTTGCGCATTTTATAATTATTAGCACGTGTTGCTATTCTGCAAACGTGTAATTAATGTGTGTGGAGTGGTGCTGAAAATATTTAAATGTTGAATACAATTGGTTGCCACAGCATATTTCAACTTTGTATGTATATGTACGTTGAACTTCTTTTGCATCGTACGTAGCCAACCGTGCCAATCGGAGGTGCGGAGTGGGAGGAAGGACAACAAACTGAACACAAAAACGCAGTTCTAAAAATTTACATAACAATTAAAACGTGCCATATATTAAAACAATACATTAAAAAAACATCGGATGAAAGACATTCTAAGGAGCACAAACAATGATTTAAAAAACTAAACAAGCTATTAAAATGTCCTTTTTAATAGATGAATTATTTTTTTTAAATGTAACAATAACACGAAAGCATCCCAGCATTAAAACGTGCTGTAATAATCATAATGATATAATTTTCATCGCAACATTATGTGACAGAAATCTTTCCAGTAGAGTATAAGGTACTCTAGAATGATTGCAGTGCAGTATCTATCAATCTTGATTTGAAGCTTTCGTGACTGCAGGATTCCATACCCTCTGGTTCAGTTGGTAAAGTCACGTAGTAGGTATGGTTTACGTGACTTTACCGAAAGAACCAAAGAGTATGCAGTATGTATGTTGAACTTCTTTCGCGCCTTACGTAGCTAACCGTGGTAATCGGAGGTGCGGGGGGGAAAGACAACAAACTAAACACAAAAAGCAGTTCTAAAGACACGAGTTTTCAATTGAGATTTGGCTCACGGATTCATATTATGGCAGTGACTTTGTCTCTATAAGTGTGTACGCGTGCACCACGCATGACATTGCTGAGAGTGTTGCTTTCACTATATAAACACCTATTAACGATAATACTTATGCAATTCATAACACGAGTTTCCGTCTCCCATAGGTAAACACATCGGTGACCAATCCGAATTCGTCATTCAGAAAGTGACCTCGCTGCAGGCCGCGGGGGCCAATTTCAGCATCGACTCTTCACCGCGTCTGCTGCAGCCCCCGGCTGAAGAAAAGTACAGCAGCAGCAGCAGCAGCAGCGCCAAATCAAAAGCTGCCATCGCCGCCGCCGCCGAACACGCAGGCCAGCTGTACGGCGACAGCGGCTTCCGCTGGCCGGGAGGCCCAAGCCGTAGCAAAATCGCGACCGTCGGCGACGGGGATCCCGCGGCAACGGAGCGCGGACCGCCGGAGCCAAAGCGGCACGACTGCCACGTCGGGCGGCCCGGAGTCGCGCCCGCCGGCCAGGCGCCCGCGCACCCCTCCGACGGCCCCCACCGGTGCGACGTCTGCGGCAGGCGCTTCGCGCAGCGCCGCGCCCTCCAAAGCCACCGGCTGGCGCACGCGGCCGGCGCCAAGCAGGCGGACCGGCGCGGCGCGTGCGGCCGCGCCCTCCCCCAAGGCCGCGGCCCGAACCTCGACGAGTGCGAGGCCGCGGCCGCCGCGGCCGTGGCCGCCGCCGCGGCCGAGGCCGCGGCCGCCGCGGCCGCGAGGGCCGCACCGGTGCGCGGTGTGCGGCCGCGCGTTCGCCCTCGCCGGCGAGCTCAAGTCGCACGCGCGCACGCACACGGGCGAGAAGCCGTACCCGTGCGGCGTCTGCGGCCGCGCCTTCTCCTGGCTGTCCAGCCTCAAGATCCACCGGAGCTCGCACACGCGCGAGCGGCCCTTCCGCTGCGCCGCGTGCGGCCAGAGCTTCCCGCACCGCTGCGGCCTCAAGCGTCACGAGCGCACGCACACGGGCGACAAGCCTCACGGCTGCGACGAGTGCGGGCGGACCTTCGTGCTGCCCAGCGAGCTCAGGAACCACCGGCGCACGCACACGGGCGAGAGGCCGTTCGGCTGCGGCGTGTGCGGCCGCGCGTTTACGTGGAGCAAGAGCCTCAAGATGCACGAGCGGACGCACGCGCGGGAAGCAGGCGCCGCCGAGGGTGGGACCGCGGGAGGCGTGGGAGGCGCGGCAACCGGGACGCCGGGCCCGTCCGGCCTGCCCTTTCCTACGGGCGCGGGAGACCTGGGCGCTCGCGTCCCTTGAGCTTCGTCCGCGTATCGAAACGTCGCGTATTGAGTGACTTCTAACGTTGGTGCCGCGCGAGGACGCGTTCCCAGCCTTCGTAGCTTTCCCTTTCACGCTGCAAGACACTTGTTGAGTTGCCGTTCACATCGTACGCAGAGACAATTTACGTTGTAAATGCAGTAAAACCTTTTGCATTGCGGGTAACTTGGTCTGCGGGTGTTTTTGCAAGACGTGCAAATTTTTTTTTAATGAATATTAATTTGATGAACGAGCGAGGGTCTTGCAATACGAGTAGTAGTACGTACACGCTTTGTACTGCCGAGCGTCACGTGATCACAACTGATATACGAGTGCTTTGATATAGGAGCGCTTTGGATTACAAACACGTTTCCGGAACGAATTATGCTCGCGATCCAAGGTTTTACTGTAATGTCTTTTATACTGTACAGTATTCAAATTTAAAACGACTGTAAAATATATTCGCGCTCACCATTGTCGTCTTCGGTGCAGTCGTAAGGTTGCATTGCCGACTAAACACCGTAGCTCCGCACAAAGTGCGTTGCTGCACGCTGATTAGCCCGAGACGAATGAACAAAAAACATTCTGACCAAACGCGATGCGCAGTTCTCAAGAATCCGTATCTTACAATTGTATTTTTATTTATATACTGTGGATGGATAATTGTATTATTTATAAATGTCAGTGTATTTAGTTATTTTTTAGTTTACTTTATTTGTATTTCTATTAAAATAATGGAATTAAATACAAAGCTATACTGACACTTCGCATATCGAATACAGGTAGTCCCCCCCGAGTTACGATGGACCGGCTTACGATATTTCGATCTTACGATGGCGATAGCGGTACGACAAAATTGCCATCAGCAACCTAAACATCGTTCAAGTATGCAGACGACGGACAGCATCTTGGTGAGTACAGTTACAATATGATACGTTACGATACGTTCAATGCGCGTGTGATACGTAGCTTTAGCGATTTCATTTTAGGGTTTCCCACGATACGATACATACGTTCAATGCATGTTAAAAGTTTTTTTTTTATAGCAGATAGGATTGTTTCCTGAAGAAACTTTCTATGAAATTTCAGTTCATATAGGTAGGCTAAGAATTTACCTTGTTTTTTTTTACTTTACATTTTACTGTGCAATACAGTATTGTAATTAATCACTACATACAGTATATAGTTTATACAGTACGGTATTGTAAATTGCTCTTTTGCTAAATTATCACCATTCTTTAAGACTCCTGGGTAGGCTAGGCCATCTTCGACTTACGATATTTTTGACTTACGATGGGGGTCGTCGTAACGAAACTCCATCGTAAGTAGAGGACTACCAGTATTCGCGTATCGAGGTATTACCGTTGAATCTTGATTTGTTGCTTTTCTGCTTTCCCAAGGACCCATATGGGATCATGTTTATACGGCCTCGTGTTTGTGCAGTTGAAGCATTTGGCGGGACCCCGGGGTCCCATCACTGCCCCGGGGTGGGAAAAACCGCGTAGCGACAGGAGTCTTGTCGCCTTACCGACAACAACAAAACTCTAGTGGTCAATCGATCGGCCTCGTCGAGAGCTACTCGGGGACACTAAGTTTCGTAAAAAGTTGAAAAATTACATAAACACGTTAAATTCACTGCAGGGGGGCGGGGCTCGCCTTGGCAAAGAAGCCGAGGATCGACGGCTGACCGGGAGGGCGTCGTCGCCGCTCGCGACTGCGGCGGACGCCCCCCCGGGGCTCGCGTTTGGCCGGTGGGGTGGCGCCCATCGTGTCGATCGCCACCTGCTGCTGCTGGCGCTTGTTGGCGCGAGTCTGGGCGGCGGGCGGCGCGTTGCTGTCGGGATCACGTAGTGGGCGGACTGAACAACAACAACAATAATTATTATTATTATTGACATGATTTTTGCGGGACCCCGGGGTCCCGCCAAATGATTCAGTTGTTGATGCAGAGAGCCCCACAGCTACATCCGCAGACCTGGCGAGCGCCACGCATTTTGCCATGGGCAGCGTGGCGTACTATGGTAACGATGCATAACGTTCCGTTATGACGGTGTGAATAATTTCTTTGACGGCCGACAGGATGTTCCAGATGTTATTTTGAAAACTCCGCCAATATTGCCTGGAACTTTGTGGCAGTATTTAATTCCTTTTGCGATGGACTACGGGGGCACTTTTTTTTAAAAAAAAAAAGATCTATTGCTCCTGACAACATTCTGTTCTAATGCTTTAAAAGTACAAGCAGTCTTCGACTTACGAACGGGTTCCGTTCCCGAGACCCGTTCGTAAGTCGGAACACTTGTTACCGTATTTAAATTGCACGTACGGTCGGTCAGTGTTTTAAAATGTGTTCCGTATCAACAAAGAACGAGAAGCTTTGTTAAACTCGTAAATAAAAAGAAATGGTGTACATTTGCGAGTAATGCTGTAATAAGTACTGTATCGTGAACAAAACACAAAATAAAGTACCATGAATAGAAAACTAAAAGCAGTTTTGTTATCACGTGAGCCCCGTAATGAGTCCTCACAAACGCGCTCATACACACGGGGGTACACGCACAACAACAAAGACAAAGATCCCCCGTATAGCCCGCAATGGACTGTTGGGGCAAGTGCTGTTAGCGAGCGCCTATGAAGGCCAGTACCGTGGCACGCGAGGGGGGTGGGTGGCCAGCACCACGCCCGGCCGCCTTTGTCTCCCCAGTGGTGATGTTAACCACACACTGCACCAGGTACTCATTTGAGGCTGAGTCGACCTAGGGGAGGCCCAAGAATCGGTTAAGATAAACGTCACTGTGTGTGTTGGCCGTGAGCGGGAATCGAACTCGGGTCACCAAGTTCGTAGCGCAGTGTAGCGCTAACCACTACACTACCGCTCCCCACTACAAAGACAAAGATCCCCCGTGTAGCCTTAACAGACTGTAGGGGCAAGTGCACACACACACGTGCTGATGTTCAATACCAATACCCGGGCCATTCATCACGAAGTGGCGGTGACGTCCCCACGGCGCCTGTGCCAGGCTAGGTGCACTTTGAGGCCGCCACGTGAAGCGTCGAAGGCTCGCCGCTGACAGGAGGAGGTCTCTGGACAGACCCAGCAGGCGCCATGGGTTGGCTGACTGAGATGACCGGTAGATGCACCACCAGCTGTATCCCCCCCCCACTGTACCAACTTGTATTTTATCCGCCCGACGCTCCGCTCGTTGTTGTGAGCGTTGCTCCTCCGCCCTCCGTTGTTGCTGGAGGGCGACTGCCTCCAACTGCCCAGCAGCAGCGTCCTTGACGAGCCTCCTCCACTTTCACTTGCACATACACGTGGGCGCGCACGCACACATTTTGACTGCTATAATGAGCCAAGAATGTCTGTGTCCTGCGCGTGACGTCACTCCACTGTTGGCCAGCCCCCCTCAATAATAACCATGAGCAGGTGACGTCGTGACGTCACTGCACATGCAGTACCCCCTCATTAATAATCACGAGCAGGTGACGTCACGCCACATCGAACAGCCCCCCTCAATAATCATAAGGTAACATCCTCCAAATGAACACCCCCCCCCCCATTCATAATAATTAGCGGCTGACGTCACTCCACATGGGGGGGGGGCGAGGCGCCTCCTTCCCCCTCACGCGATCTCCGTCACGCTGTTGAGACATAGAAGTAAAAAGGACGTCACGATGAACAAGGGATTATAACCCTTAAATGCAATAAGCCTGTGTCACCGCGCCCTTAAAAATTGGACACGAATGAATGCAATGAATATCACGTTGCGGTCTGCTTTTCGCTCGCAAGTTTCAGATTTACTGAAATACACCCCGTCCTAGGACGGGCAAAAGGCAAGTACAGGTAGTCCCCGACTTACGATGGTCCGACTTACGATATTTCGATCTTACGATGGCGATAGCGATACGACAAAATTGTAAAATATTTTTAATTTCGCGCGGCAGGCAAACGCAGCAGCGTGCTAGGTACGATACTGTAACTTTATCATCGCCATCCTCCTCTTCCGACAACTAAGTCAAAGTAGCCATCAACAACCTAACATCGTTCAAGTATGCAGACGACGGACATAATCTTGGCGAGCACAGTAGAATATGATACGTTACGATACGTTCATGCATGTCATGATACGTAGCTTTAGCAACTTCATTTTAGGGTTACCACAATACGATATGTTACGTTCAATGCATGTTAAAAGTTTTTATAGCAGATAGGATTGTTTCCTGAAGAAACTTTCTATGAAATTTCAGTTCATATAGGTAGGCTAAGAATTTACCTTGTTTTTTTACTTTAAAATTTACTGTGCAATACAGTATTGTAATTAATAAATCCATACATTATATAGTTTATACAGTACGGTACTGTAAATTGCTCTGTTTTGCTAAATTATCACCATTCTTTAAGACTCCTGGGCAGGCTAGGCCATTTTCGACTTACGATATTTTCGGCTTACGATGGGGTCGTCGTAACGCATCTCCATCGTTAGTCGGGGACTAGCTGTATATACATAATAACGCTGGCTACTGATGGAAAAGTGGTACTGACATCAGAGGGCAGCACACATATCAGAAGAGGGAGCATATACGGGGGGGTGGGGGGGGGGGGGTGAAGAGAACTAAAGAGAAGCTCAGGAAGGGGTCCATCTGGAAGCCCGGGACCCTGCTAGTAGGTTCCAGAAAGAGGGCGTGGTGAGGGCGGAGCGAGGCCACGCCGGGAGGATAAAAGAGGGGCCCGGGGCGAGAGCTCGGGGCTGTTTCTGGAAGAGGATCCCCCTCGCTGTGTTGCTGTTCGTCACCTTCATCACCGCCGTCTTGACCACCCTTAGACGCCGCTAGCTCGACAGCCTGCCAACTGCGCTAGCTAGATAGTGCCATCGAAAGAGGGGAAAGTTTGACTAGCGTGTAAGCGCGTAGGGCGTCTGTAGTTCCCTGACGTGTGGAAGGTGCCTTCAGAACCCTGTCTCCGAGTGAATCACTACATATACACAAACACTCTCAGCGTG